GGCTCAACACCCAAGCCGGACTCACCGGGCTCACCAGTCTCGCTCACTCTGGAGCTCCTCCAGTTGCCGGGTTTGCAAGTAGTCAAAAATAGCCTGACGCTCCGCCACCACCTCATCCGCCGACGAGCCGAGCAGCCCCATAGGAGACGAAGAGAGCCCTCCGCCGCCCTCTGCCGCCAAAGCACGTGCATGCGAACCTGTGCTGTGCTGCAACAGCACTCGGCTGGTGCCACCGCCGCCGCCACCGCTGTCGCGGGTAGTAGGCCGACGAGCGGCGGCGGCGACTGCCGCCGCCACCGGTCGCCGCCGGGCCCGTGGTTCCGTCTGCATGCTCCAGTACGCCGCATCGGCGGCAGCAGACGGCAGAATCGGTGGCGGCGGCGGCGGTGGTACCGCCACATCCAAGGTTGACGCCAGCGGACTCGCCGTGCCCGTGGGGGAGGGGCGGAGAACGTATTGACCCGCTGCGAGGAGGCCATCAGCTACCATTTCATCCACGCCGTCATCCCCAAAGCGTATCTGCAAAATCGGGTGCCCCTGAACCGCTGCAAAGTGCTCTTCGCCTCTACGTAGCGTCGTCACCGCTGAACCCGAAGCAGAGGATAACTGTGGCGGCGGCGGCGGCGCCGTCACGGGGCGCCGCGGGGCGGTACCGGCGGGGGCGGCGGACGGCACCGCAGTGGCGTCGGCAGCGGCGGCCGCAGGTGTCGGTAGCCGCACCACCCGCGACTTGATGCCGCCGCCGCCGTTGCCGCCAGGACCCAAAAAGCCGCCACCGCCGCCGCCACCTTGGGTCCATTGAATTAGCGAGGAAGGCCCCGGGGCCACCTCCTCTCCGGAACCCGGCCCAAAGTTCGCATTCGAGCAGTGCCTGCTGTACCGTACAAGCTCCAGCGCTGTTGCCTCCGTCGCCGCTAATTCGGCAGTCACGACAATGTCGTCCGCGGCCGAACCGAGCGTGACAGCGGGGCCGGCAGTGCTGCCGACCCGGCCGCTTCCTGGGTTGACCGCGGCGCCGGTCTCCAACGTCTGTGCCTGAGGTACGCCGCCAAGCTGTGGCGGTAATCGGGGAGCACTGACGGAGGTCCGAATGGGAATCGGCGTCGGGTCCCAGGAGCTGTCCCTCAGCCACTGGGGGCTGCCGCCGGCTCCAAGCTCCGCCAGCAGCACCGGCGGCACCGGCGGCGGCGGCGGCGGCGCCGCCAGCGGCACCGGCACAGGATCACGTGCCGCCTCCAGCCATACCGAGCGAGCAGACCAAGTAGAATGTAGGGACTCACGTGCGGAGACGGCCGAGGTTGGCGGCGACAGCGCCGCATCGCGATCCGCTCGTACAGTGTGATGGCTATCGAGTCCGCCGCCACCAGGGCTCGGCATGCCCAGCACTGGTGCCGTACGGAGCAGCCGCGCCGGTAGGATAGCGCCGAGGCTGCTTGCGGGGGAGCCGCTCGGCGGCGAGTGGAGTTCCGCGGCTACCGGTCGGCCGCAGCGGGGTGATGCACTGGCGCGGCTGCCGTTGCTTCCCCGTCGTGACCGCGGCAACCCCAGCGCCATTGCGAGCCGCAGCTGTGCTTGTTGCCGCTGTTGCTGCTGTTGTTGCTGCTGTTGTTGTTGCTGTTGCTGCTGCGGTTGCTGCTGCGGTTGCTGCTGCGGTTGCTGCTGCTGTTGTTGCTGCTGTTGTTGCTGTGATTGTTGCTGCGGTTGCTGCTGCGGTTGCTGCTGTGGTTGTTGCTGCGGTTGCTGCTGCGGTTGCTGCTGCGGTTGCTGCTGCGGTTGCTGCTGCGGTTGCTGTTGCTGTTGCTGTTGCTGCTGCCGTTGCTGCTGCCGATGATGATCATGATGATGATGACGATGATCGCGCCGATCTGCATCCCCGGCGGCGGCGGCAGCAGCGGTTGCGTCGGCCCCGCCATCAAGATGGGGCTCTCCGACGCTACCTGGTGCCAGCAACACATTGGCGGGCAGAAACTCAACTCCCGACGCGCCAGTAATGAAGGCCAGGTCGACTTGTCGTACGGTTGCTGCTGCAGACGTCGCAGCCGCCTCCGCCGCCGCAGCAGCCGTTACCGCAGGAACGGAATGAAATGTCTTCCCCGTGGCATCCGCATTAGCGCCGCCGCCGCCACCGGGCGCCAGCACCGCCGTCGCTGCTAGCGCGTGCAATGTAGTAAACGGCATGCCGCCGCCGCCGCTGCCAACGGCGACGGGATAGGGAGCCGTTCCCGGCGGTGAGCCGGTGGGTGGCTGCCCAGAAAACGAGTCCCCATGCGAGTACACGATGGCTTCAGAGCCGTGACGGCTTGGCGTCACCATAAGGCCCGACGGAAGCGCCTGCGACGACGCCGGTGCAACGGCAACGTAAGAGTCGAGCTGTCCCGTCAAGGCGGCGCTGCTGCTGAGGCCCTCGCCTGCTGCTCCTGACCGCGTCGCCGCCGCTGCGGCAGCCGCCGCCGGCACTTTGAGCATAGCCCGCAGGCTCAGATCCTCGGGAAGCAGCGACGGCGGCGAGGCCACAGCCAGCAAAGCACCGGCGGGATCGACAGGAACCAAAGCGGCAGCGCTGGCGGGAAGCTTTTGTGAGCTGGATGTACGCGATGTGGCTCCTACAGGCGGTGGCGCCAGAGCCCGGGGCATTTGCGTAGAGGGCCAGGAAGCCGCCGGTAGCGGCGGCGGCGCTGAAAGCTCCCCGATTCGAATGTACGGTGACACGGACCTATGCTGGCCGCTTCCAAGCCACCCAATTCCCTCTGCCGCCGCCGCAGCCGCCGGGGGTCCCCTGAAAGACCCTGCCTCCGCTGCCGCTGCGGCGATGGCGGCGACGGCGGCTACGCTGTTCCTAGCACGCACCGCCGGCGGTGCTGCCGCCGCTGCAGCGAGTGCATGTTCATGGTAAGCAGCCAAGCCCTGAACCGGCGGCTGCGGCGTCGCCGCCGCTTCCACCGCCGCCGCCGCCGCTGGCTCAGCTGCTGCCGCCACGGCCTCCGGAGCGCGCAGCGGAGGCATCAGGGCGCTTCCGCTGGTGGCAACGGCCGACAGTTGCAGGTTGCTGTCGCTGCCGCTGACGTCGCCGGCGCTGGGATTGCTGCCCACCCCCGGACCCACGGAGTCGTTGAAGATCGACACGCCGGTGATGGTGCTTGGAGTGCGGCCAGAGGAGACCGAGTTGGCCATGGCCGGTTGCTGATCCGAAGCCTGCGTTGCCGCTACGGGGAAGACCGACGGCCGCCCACCGCTGCGGAGCTCAGCGGCGGCTACCGCCGCCGCCGCCGCCGCCGACCCCGTCGCAGAGTCAGTCGAGGCAGGGAGGACCAGATGTGACTCCTGTGGCAAGGATATTACGCAAAGGATAAAACGCAAATGGCGAACAATGAAGAGAGGCCAGCTGAATGGAGCAGTTGGAGAGCAGTTGGAGAGCAGTTGGAGAGCAGTTGGAGAGCGGTTGTGTGTGTGGGGGGGGAAGCTAAAGACAAACCACGGACGAATGAAGTAGATACCAGATAGGGACGGATCTAGACGGGGGTGTCGACGGCAGGTGAGGGACGATTGGATGTCGCTTTGCAAGGCGACTACGAACAGAAGTCGGCAAATCCCGCGGGTACTGCGGGTCCGTACCACAGTACCCGCAGCCGAAATTCGGCTTAAGGCCCCGTAAGGCTGGGGATCCCTAATGACCAGTATTTGACCAAAAGACGTGACTTGCAGCCTCTATTGCGGCGAGTAGGGCCGCGCGTAGGACTTGAACCCTGTGTTTGTCTTTTAGGTTGACCGAAACTATGCCCTCCCGCAGCCGTAGAAACCGATTTGACGACCTCTGATTACGAAGGTCATCGGGAGGGCTGTTAAGGAGGTATTTGACGAGTGGTTGTAATAGCGGTTAGGGGGCGGTTAGAGGAAAACCGTCAGGAGCCCAAACCCAACGGCCCCGGGCCCCGCTGCCAAACCCCGTCCATCACCAACGCGTGCATAAATAGATGCACACAATCTGATACTTCTTTTTCAGGACGATCAAATCAATCATCGTGCCCATCGGCTGTTTGCACCCACAGCACCCACAGCACTAAGCACACCTGAGTGCCAGCCATCAACCCAGCACCTCCGCTGCCGACGCCGGCGCTGCTGCGTGCCCCCGCGCTCGAGATCACGTCGCCGCCGCTGGTGTGCACCAGGGCCTGCGCCGTTGCCACCACCACCGCCGCCGAACCCTCGGTCGCGGAGCTAGTCGTTCCCCCGCTGGCCGCCGCGCCCCCGCCGGGCCCATTTTGCGACCGCGGCGTTGAAAAGCCGCCGGCCCCAGGGTCCGTGCCCCCTGCTGCCAGCCCAGCAGGGCTAGCGGCGGCGGCAGCAGCCCGTCGCCGATTAGGGCTGCGGCGCCGCGGCGGCGAAGCCGCCGCAGCCGCCGTCAGCCCTACTGCCAAAGCGGTGTTCCTCCGGCCACTGCTTTGCGCGGAGGAGCGTGACAGGCCCGCTGTAGCACCAAAATGCTGTAGCGCCTCACGTGCCATGCCTGCGGACGCGACGCCGATGCTGGAGCCGCTGGTGTAGGCGGGCGTGATGGGCGGGTCGGCAATGTCAAACGACATGTGCGTGCTCAAGGTGCCCGCGGGGGGACCTCCAGGACCGTGCACCGCATGGCCCATGGAGGGCAGCAACACACCCAAAGCGCCACTGACGCTGACGCCGCCGGCGCTAGCGCCGTTGCCACCACCGATGTTGCCTCCGCCACCGCCGCCTTGCGTACCCGCCGCGCCAGCCATGTTTCCTGACGGCGAATGCCGCAGTAAACCAACACGCGCCAAGACCCGCCTGCCGTCCCCAGTACCGGCGCTGACAGCGCCAGTTCGCAAGGCGCGAGGGCCCCCACTGCCGCCGCTGCCGGACGGCCCCGCCGGTACGTCGGCGCTGTGGCTGCTGCCGCCGGAAGCAACGGCGGCAGCCGCCGCCGCCGCTGCATCCAGGGCGGCTCCCGTCCGGCGCTGCACGTACGCTTCCCTCCAGCTTCGCAGCGTCTCCGCAATGGATGTGAAGGTGGGTCGTACAGAGGGGTCCTCCGACCAGCACTGCAGGATGAGCTCCCAAAGCTCCAGTGGACAGCCACGCGGCCGGTCCAAGCGGTAGCCGGCACGCAGCGCCAGAGCCACCTGAAACTCTCGAAAAGGTGGCGGGAGAGGAGGCCGTGAGACGCAGTGCCGGTTGTTTTGTGTTGTTGTTTTGTGGTGTGTAGTATTGCGTTTCGTAGCGCAACATCAAATCCGAAAGCAGAAATTGAAACAGCAATACCTGGAGAAATTCCAGTAAATCCTGCCTAAAATTCCCGCATAAAAATCGGGGTTCCCCTAGTTTTCCTACGATCTGCTTTCGTAGGAAAAGTTCGCAAGTCGGTTTTAGCGGTTAGTTTTTGCCTTTGCAGCTGTGTTTCAACCGACCCCAACAGCGCAGGTATGACATCCAAATATTATCGGGTAAAGAGCTTATAAGGTCTCGCTTGGAGGAAGTTCCAAGCCAACCAGGTTGAACCAATGGACTGCTAGGTTACGAGCAAGTGTTGATTATTTATTAAACCATCATGTGGAAAGTGACTTCACCTTTTTCTCTCTCGGTTTTCAAGGAAAGAACAATCGAAAATAAATCGGTACGGAGTTCGGGCATTCCGACCCGACAAAAAAATCTTTTAGGCATGACCCAGAAGCCAAAGAAGCAATAGCATGTGCGATTTGCTAGAATTTTAGGAGTAATGATTTAGGTAGCGCACTGTGGACAACCGCCGCCCAACCGGCATCTCCCTTCCTTTCCCTTCCCACCCGACCCCTTCCTTCACCCCCATCTGCAGCCCTGGCCCTGGCCCACCTGCGCATTGCTGAGGGACGCGTAGGGCTCCGCGCCGTTGGCAAAAATCTACGGGGTTAGTGGGGGGAGTGCGGGTCAAGCCTACCCGTGAAATGGAACCACAGCAGCAGCACCACCAGCAACCGTAACAACAACGACAACTGCATCAATAATAGCAATCACCCATCCTACTCTCCCTGCTCGTACTCGTAGTCGTACCACTACAACCGCTACAACCACCGCGTCGCAGTGTTCTTCTCCCCGCCCAGCAGACCTCCCCGCCTGACCTCCCAGCACGTGACACCGAAGCTCCAAACGTCCCCGGCCTCGGAAGGTGGACCACCCGTCAAAACCTCCGGCGCCGCCCAACGAGCCTGTTGGCCGCGGGCGCGAGGGGCAGGGCGACAGGGGGAAAAAGTGGCAGAAAAACAAAGCAAGCGAGAGAGGTCGGGAGTCAGTAGGTAGAAAGAGCGAAGAGATAGGAGAAGTAGGGAGTCAAGGGAGGGAGAAAGCGCAGGGAGGAGAGAGAGGAAAAGGTGGGAGCAAAAAAAACGCGGCAGGGCGGGGATGAAAGGAGAAGGACGAGGGATGGAAAAGTCCGGAAAGCTGTAGGTTTTCTGAGTGAAACGAAAGAAAACCAAGGTTTTCTGTGTACTCGGTTGAATGTCGTTGGTGCGTACGGCTGGACCGTACAGGGCTAGAGTAAGTCGCAGGAGTGCGACGGAAAGAGTAATTTCGCGAGTTCACAGCGTCAGAGGGTACTGACAGGTTTCCGCTGCGGCTTCTGCCCTAATCTACAGGCTTCAGAAGCAGAGTCGCTCGGTAACCAGGCTCGGCCCCCACCACCCACGGAAGCAAGCACAACTTTCCTGCCTCAGGTACCCCTCCGTCTGAACGACCCCTAAGCGGTACGGCAACTACTCGCCAAGAAAAGCTAGATAAGAACCGAGGAGGTAGCTAATTGAAGTCTGTTGATGTGCTGTTGTGTTGTGTCTACCACTGCGTTCTGTTTGGGCCAATGTTATGGAACCCGCAGTGGCAGATAGTGCGGATGCCGATACTCGACAAAGCGCCAAAAAAGAGCGGTGGAGCGCGGCTCGCTGGAAAAGTGTCACCGCACAACCACACTGCCCCACGGCGGCAAAGGTGTGTGTGTGTGTGTGTGTGTGTGTGTGTTCGTACGCGTGTGCATGTGCATGACCGCGAACTTCCCCCGGTCCGCATCACGGCCAGGTCAGGTCATGATCGGAGATTCTACATTCTAAATCCTGAATCCTAGATTCCAGGGGCCGTGATTCCCAGACTCACGGGCACAATGTCCATAGAAGAAGGCGCGGGCCGCTGCTGCTGCTGCGGCGGCGGCGGCGGCAGTGGAGGCCGTTGCTGATGATGATCAGGTATCAGCGGCGGCCCCGTTGGCTGGTGTTGGTGTTGGTGTTGCTCTGTCTGCTGTGGTTGACCGAGGACTGCACCCGCCACCGGCTCTGCTACACTTGCGGATGTGCCGGTACCTCGGCCATCACCGCCCCCGCTGCCACCAGGGCCGACAGGCCCCCCTCCGCATGCTGCTGCTACAGCTGCTACTGCTGATGTCCCTGTTGATGATCCGATCTCTCCAGGGAAGAGTCCCAACACCGCGCCGCCGCTGCCGCCAGGGCCGCCGGCCGGCAGGCCGCCCGTGGTAGGAGCCATTGCCGGGCGTGCGAGCCCGAAATCTGTTCAAAGCACACCGCAGGACGCAGTGGGCGGCAGCAGGAAGAGGAGGAGGAGACGCTTCATCATATCCAGCTGCACACCTTTCGCGGGGGCACCCCCTCCACTGCCCCACAACCCGACACACGAGGATAAAGGAAGGTCACACCGTCCCCAGGATCTCACCACAACTCAATTGGTTCAACCAGCCAATGAGAAGCCCAAATCAGTTCAATTGACTGTTCCTACGTATTCCTCACCAGCAGAAGGTAGGTTACCGGACAAGAGGGAGCCCATACCTACTCTCCACGCCCCACCCCACGCCCCCTTAACACGTGCCGTAATCAGGTTGCGTTGTATTGCTGCTGTTAGTTTCAATTCACTATTACTATATGAATTAATTTATTTTATGTTACAATGTTATAACATCGTGATCGTTGACTACTGTCCTCACCTGCCAGTTTGATGTGGGGGGGCTCCAGGCTCTTGACCAGCAGATTACGTGCCGCCAGATCCCCGTGCACCAGGCCCTCCCTGGAGAGCTCCACGCAGGCGGACACCAACTGAGGGAGCAGGGCAGGGTAGGTAGTAGGGTACGGTAGGGCAGTAGGTAAAATTGCATGCCACGGGATTAGGGAGTGATGGAGGAAGCCGAGAAAGTGGCGGTGGTGGTGTTGCGTGGTACGCAAAAGTGGTGTTGCGCAAAAGGGTTTAGCCGCCGGGGCGCCTTCTTGTCGGTAGGTGGCTCTGCTATTTGGGGCATTCAGACCCCCACCACCCCACCCACATTCCCAACTCCCTTGCGGCGCCTTCCCCTCCTCTCATACGCAACCGCCGGGGCCCCACCATCACCACTGTCACCCTCACTTGCTCCACAATCGTCATCTTGGTTTGCGTGAGCAGTTGCCGACCGATGGATCGCAGTACGGCATCCAACGAACCTAACTGTAGCAACTCCATGACCAGGTACTCGTTGCCGGCGTTGTCAGTACTCCACCTGATCGAGGAAGGAGAGGGGGGAAGGGGGGCCGCGGTACCGAGGTGGCTACGAGGTACAGGACGGGCGAACAAACATCGATCGGACGTCTTTTAAATAAAAAATGTGATGAATGCTAGTGTCGACAGCAGTGGCAATAGTGGCGGTAACTTCAACATTAGATGGTATATAATGTATATATTAAATACATATAAATACATTTAAATAAAAAATATGTCTGGCCGGGCTCATATGCCTCAGTTTACCGTTCGGGTGTATAACATTACATACGTGAACATACATATCATTCATGCAAAAGGTTTCCCGCAAACGGTTTTCCAACATCAACACTTCAGGCCCTGAAACCCAACAATTTATTGTCTGTCCGGTTCTTTGTTTCAGCCTCTGGTCTTCCAACCCCAGAAACCCGGGTCCGAAAACCCGAATCATAGGCACTAACACGTACTGGCGGGCAAGCATATGTACTCATAGGAACCCGAATGATGGCGCCTCAAATCATAACAATGCCATTAGATTCATCATCATCATCATCATCGTCATCATCAACACATCATGATCATTATCATCACATCACATCACATCATCATCATCATCATCATCATCATCATCATCATCACATCATCATTATCATCAGATCATCATCGTCGTCGTCGTGAACTCCCTGGAACGTTCCCACCCCCACCCACCCCCCACCCACCCGCTCACCCACCCACCTGTACAACTGCACCAGATTGGGATGAATGGAAAGGCGCTGTAGCAGCCGCGCCTCCGCCACCAGGCCGCCTCGTCTCATCGCCACCACCGCCACGTGAGTATTGTTCCAGGAGCCGCGGTACACGGTCTTGAAGGCGCCCTTGCCAATCACCTGCACACGCGATGCGATACGATGTGATGCGGGTGCGACAGCAGCAAACCAGCACGCGAAGAAGCAGGAAGGATCAAGGGGCCGAGTCAATGTAACAGTCAGCGCAGCGGACTCATTCACCGACGTCGTCGTCGTCGGACATTCAGCATATCATGCTTGAATATCCTTTTCAAACACAGAGAGTCAGTCCGTCCGTCAGCCCATCCGTGCGCCGTCCTCTCAGGGTCCCAGGTGAACAGGGTACGACACGACGTACGAGAGGGATATTCGGGTATATTGGTTTTGACTTCTCGGAGGATTAAGGAGAGGTCGCTTTGGGGAAGGAACCATATGTGACAATTTATCATAATCGTTGCCCTGTCCTGAAAATGCCCACAAAGACGAGCCGTGGGAGCGATTATTGAGGACGTTACTGCCTTGTTGTACGAGTTTGGACGAGCAATCGTCGTCGGGACGAGGAGAAAACCATCCAACGCCTCGACTACTACAGCACAGCAGGTCATGGTTCACTGATGATGCCATTGATGACTGTACTGGGTTTGCTCCTTAAATGTCTGGGTTTGCGCCCCATGCCAAGGAATTTCAGTGATGTGGCCTAAATAAGCATTCGTATGCGACCGGAGCGTGAATTAGAAGGATACGTATGCATCTTGTCCTTTTTCCTGATGCGCTGTCCTACCGACCATACGTATCCTTCTAATTCTTGCTGGAGAGTGTTCGTTTATGCTGTAACATAAATCTTGTATAAAATCTTTAATAACCCGGGCGTTATTGGAGCTTAAGGATTTGGAGGTTACAGTAATTGTGCAACGAAGGTGCCCGATTCATTTCCTGGAGGCGCCCTCCTCAGCCATACTGGATCATTCTAGCCGTTCACGCCAGGACAGCATCCGGAGCACCACAAACATCGTCGAGCGCTCAGCAATAAGTACGGAGTAGTAGACGAGAACCTCAGTGATGTGTCCAGAGTCCTCCCAGAAAATGAAGTCAGCACAATTTGCAAAAGCATTTTTTTCAGAAGGACATACACCCGCCACAGGATTCAATTTCTTGGTTGTACTTATATCGTGGCGCAGGATAATAATAATAACTGAGAGGGAAATTGAGGGTCCACCGAGACAGACAAAGATAGCTCCGTGCCTCCTTTTCCTTCCGTGCCTCCTTTTCCTTTTCTTTCCGGAATGAAACCCCCAAAAGAGATAGAAGAAGACCTGCGGAGAATTCTTACTTTACTGCTTTTCTACCCCATAATTATCCGTAAAATAAATAGGAACAGCTATGTGGTCTGAATAATTCTTACCTTTTTATTGATGCTACACCAATGGCGGTATGTCATAATTTGCAAGAGAAAAGACATTAGAATTTTATATCCAAATTTAACTGCATCAAAAATAATTTCTCCATCGGTAACTTTGAGAACTTCCGCATACATGCTGCCACACTGACCCGCAACCATCTGCATTACCCAGATATAGCACTTATCGCGTGTGCTAATGTCTACTTATCCAGTCCTCTTTCCGGGTTTCATTTCACACGCCACGGGAGATTGGGCTTAACGCAAGTTTGAACCTCGGTTCAAGAAGTAGCATGTACGACTGTGTGGTACATGCACAGTTCCTGCCGCGCAGCGCAGCACCGAGGGCAGCTCCCTACCTTGTGCAGGGTTATCTCCCGAAACGGAATTCGAATCCGCGGATCGAGCTCGTCCGCATCACTCCACGTGCTCATGCGCTGCGTTTGCTGCTGCGCTTGCTCCGACTGGCGCAAGACCACTTGAGTCTGCTGGTCCCGTGTTGCGGTCGAAGGTAGAGAGACAT